TCACTCTAGACTACAAACTCCATTTTGGCTAAGATTGTTTCGATAGGTACTCGCTTACACACCAAGGATATCATAGGAACACAGTTCCCCATTGGTGCAGTCATAAAACTCCCCCTATACAAACCAATTTGAATCATGTCATTATACCTAAACTTGACTTACTAGTCCCCTTATTATCCTCTTTCATTCTATCACAATCACATTAAACCCGTTATCCTTAGACACCCATGGTAGGATAGCATGTTAGTGACTCTGATCTCATTATTATTATTATTATTATTATTATTATTATTATTATTATTATTATTATTATTATTATTATTATTATTATTATTTTTTTTTTTTTTTTCTTGTACCTCGGCCCAAGTGTCAAAAAACAAAAGAATTTGCACCATTGAGCTAAGTGGCCGGATGAGGATCACCTAACTTAGAAGAAAATTTTCTTTTTATTCATTTCTTCTTAAATTTCTTTTTTTTTAAGCCTGAGATCATTCACTTATTTGCATCAGCTTCCTATGTAGTGCATGCTTAGGATGATGATGACTGCTAAATAAACTACTTAAGAACTACTAAAGGGTGAGAGATTAAGATTGCAGCATAACAAGTATTCAAATTGGTCTCTAGACTTAAGGTGTTAAAACGATACTGATTTTGTAAAGTTTTTCCAAGTCCCCACAATCTATCCAAAATTTCATCTATAGCCTAAAACTTTCAAAAGGTGCATTGAATTTCAAAGTCAACATTGTTTTCATGGCTCAAAAAAATGGGTCTAAGGGACAAATTCTACACACTTGGTTAAATATTCTATACCAACCAAAATATATCTATGACCTTTGGATGATGTGGGTCGAATCTCACCAATTAAATATAAAGAAAAACCTATAAATTTTCAAAGTAAAACAATATAGTTTATTGCAGAAAGATGTTGAATACCTGCATGCTTCTGACACTCTTGACAACCCTTCGTAAATTCGATACATTCTTTCAACATAGTTGGCCAATACGAACCTTTTTTAAATGAAATCCATTTAATCTTGTGGCCTACTTGATGAGCGCCACATAACCCACTATGAACAATAGAAATGCTAAATAAGCTTCTCTCTCACTAAGGCATTTGAGCAAGATTCCATCAGGAGTCTTTTTGAACAATTCATTTTCGATAATCACATAACTTAATGACTTGTATTTGATTTTTTGATATGCTAACCATGATGGGTTCTCCAAAAAATCAATAATTGATTTTCTCCAATCATTAGTCAAGATATCGTCAATGGAAAAAATTTCTACATAAATTGGCAATTCATAAAACCCTTCTACCCCCATTATTTTTTACCTTGACAATTTAAAGGGGAAAGGATTGGTTGAAATAAATTTCGCTTTTACCTTGATCAATCATTCTAACCCTTTCTCTAGAAGCTTTGTAACTAGAAGTGATTTGTGTTAAATCATTAGCTTCTTGGTTTTCAACTTGACGAATATATTTGACGTCGACTTCATCAAATCGTCTTAATAACGAATTAACCTTGACAAAGTACATCATCAAGTTTTGTTTGACACACTTGTATTCTTTGGTCAATTATTTTATAACTAACCCAGTGTCACCTTTAATTTTAAGTCCTTTTTCTCCCGTCTAAAATAATCTAAGGGCTTGTAATAAAAGCTTCACACTCAGGCTCATTATTTGAGAAAAACTCTTTAACTTTAAACTTAAACTTTGTTGGAATTTCTTAATAAGAGATTATCATAATTCCAATACCAGTTCCATTCTTGTGTTTAATGTTCGAAATCTCATGGGCCAGAAGCAGCTCAAAATCTGGATCATCTTATGCTCAATAAAGGCAAAGGCGCTCAAATATGTTCCTTTGATAAGCTAAGGATCTAATGTTAACAATAAATGAAAGCAAAGGGCACCCTTCGCCCCAATTGTCACCAGAGAAGCGCCCCCTTACTTGCATAAACCTGTCTTTCTAATCATCATAAGGGTCTGCATAGGGTTCCAATAAATGTCTACCTAGAAGAGCACACAACGTTACCCAACCACTATAGTGGAGAAGCTTTTTTGAAGAAACACATGAACATCCAAACAACGGGGAAAGGGGCATGTTACAACAGATTATTTGGAAAGTATAATGGATGCTCCATACATTTGGAGTGATACGGGAAAAAGGCAACGTTAATAGCAGTAAAAAGTATTCCTCGAAGGAAGTAAAATGTATCAAAACTCCAAGCTCGTGGATGATAGGCGGGTAAAAATTAAAATAAAGAGCATATGAGTCGTCAACGGTGGTCAAGTTGGCATTCGCCCTTTGTGAATAGAGTTATAAGATCACATCATATTTGCGCCTTATATTGGAAAACCTAATACCCTTACAAAACCTAATAATCCTGTCAAAGTTGGAGTATCAGAAAAAACTGTCTCGAACGTGTACACACTTGATTTCCTTCTTAGCCATGAGCTTCTAGTGAGTGGAAAGGGAAGGAAGAGAAATAACAATGTTTGTGCCCTATGATATTGATCGGACATCGCAACCCTTTTTTTATTTTCCTTCTCTAAAAGCTTTTCTTGGCTTATATATTTTTTCCAAGGAAGCAAAAATTAAGAGTCCAAAGTAAAATGATAGAGAAAAAATATTTCCCTAGGAAAATTATCAACTCCTTTTATAGAAGTCCAATGGCACAGACAATGTATCCACTCAACTGAGTAACTGCCACGAGTAGTAGAAAAGATCACACGCATAGAGGACATGTGTAAGAAAACTGGTTGGATTGGTTTTCCCCAGGAAAACCATCATGAATTGCATTAAATGCTACCTACGCGCCCTTTCCACTAAACGCTCAATCTTTCAAATTGACTGCTATTTTGACGTCACTAAGGTCAATCAAGTAAAGCTTGGTGTCTCCACTAATGCTCTTACTACCAATGAGACATCTAACAATGAGGTGATGACTCGCCCTTAACTAACAGGTTCATCTCCCATTAGAATGGGTGCCTTTAGCCGAGAGACTCGTCACTTGGCTGAGGGACTTTCCTTCCATTAAAAAGGTGTGCCTTCAATTGAGGGACTCATCATTGCTTGGGAGATTCATCTCTCATTAAAAAGGACATCTTTAGTCAAGGGGATCTCCTCCCATTAAAAAGGTCACCTTCAAATGAGGGACCCGTCCTTGTAGAATGATTCATGCCCAACGGAGAGACTCACCATGACCACAAAGCTCTACCCAATAGGATTCTAAAAACATTTATCCCTTTAAAAGCCCTTGTGCTTGAGGGACTTTATAATGATATATTTGTGATAACCATAAACAAGGGTGACCCACGCATCCTTGCCCCATTAAGCATCGCCCGGGATAGGTGTTTGTGTGCTATGAGGGACTCACCTTCAGGACAAATGTGTATAATACTGTTTTCTAGGCACTGACCACATGGACAAAGTCATAACATGACTCCTTAGAAAGTAAGCAATCAACAATCTCCCTTGATCAAGGAGCAGCAACTACCATCTCTTAGGGTTTCCAGAGTCCTAGGCCCAAAGTGCCTCAATAAATACCTCTTCCATCACGGGAGAAGGGATATATCATAATACTTTTTAGTACACACACTTAAGCCTTTTTACCTCCATAAATATCACCAAACATTGTCTCTCATCACCGCGAGGAAGCCTTGACCACCCTTAAATACAATTTCTTACGAGTATCCTCTATCCACATAAAGATACCATACGTTCATGTACTTTTTTTACAAGTACAAGGTTATAATGCTTCATGTGGAACACGAAATATAATGTTGGGGACCGTCTGATTGATCTAGACGGTGCATAATGAGCTAGGTGTTAAAATCTGCTATATTTGAGAGCATGAAGGTCCTCTTTTCTATTGCATAGTCCTTGATAGCATTCGATCTTAAACCTCCCTTATTTGGCCATCTTGGCGGCCAAGAACACTATTAAAGTGCACTATGGTTCATTAATGGATATGAGTATTCTGATAGTTTTTTTTTTTTATATTTTTTTTCTTTCATATTGAATGATTATCCCTAATTAATTGTAGCAACTATGGGTGAGAATACGGCATACTATGGCATACCAACTAGCATGTGTCTATGACTTTTCCTGCAAAGCCTAATTCAAATAAGTTTACCGTGGCACTCTAATAATAGTAGAATCCTCAAAATATATCTTAAACTTTGCTATAAATGGAAGCTATATACTCGTATCCTACTAATCATAATATTAACCCATGATCCTACGAGAATATCTAGAGATAGGATTTGTCTTAGAGGGGTTTCTATATTAAATTGCAATAGGTATGCATAATAATCTCAGGATCCAATGACAATGTACGACATTAAAGTTAGTCAACTTCTTCAATATAAATTGATTTATTGTTAAAATACACCATTTTGTATAGTTTAAAATTACGTCAAATTAATTTTTTATAATAAATCAGATATCCTTGTGCTCAGTTAAAGTGACAAATCTTTTAAGTTGAAATGATAATAACAAATGGAAAATCTTAGATTCAAAAAAATTTAACACAGCATTTAATAATTTATGCAGATCAAGAGCTTATCTCATTTATTGTGAATTAATTGAACGTAGATATTAAGTAGTTGAAGATATGTATTCACACGAGTATCCAATAATAATAAGAATAATGTCACAGACAATAATCATAAGAATTTTATATAGATATGATACATCACAAAGGACAAAAGAAACAGCATAAAAAATAAAAACAATCAACATCGTCATTCAAATCTTCACAACGTGAAAGAGGGATCAAACAGATCAATCTCAAGAGTCAAATCAGATTAAAAAAACCCCTCTTGTTTGAAGAAAAAAATAGCTGCAGAGTCTCGAGAATGCCACGGTGCAAAAAATAAAGAAAACAAACACCTTAGCATTATCACCCTTCAACTCTGCACACTAAGATATGAACACTAAAAAAACCATTAAAATCTTGTTAGCAAATGGTTGATGCTTTGAACTTGTTATTCAGGATCAAGCGAGCTGCTTCAAAACCTGACTTATGCTTCTTATCAGATCTTTTATTGTCGAGCAATATTCTTTACTCATCTGCAACAAAAATCTATTAAATTAGCTAAAAAGTTAAAAGAAAAAAAAATATAGTTCAAACTCTATGCTATGAAATTTGAATGAATTTTACCTGCGCAACAATGGTTATGTCAATATATTTACTTCCAAATGGTAAAACGGAACTACTCTGAATGCTGAGATGATGTTTTTCGAGTTTGTTAAGTATTGCGGTCGAAGTTCGGCAGCTTTGTTTGTGACAGTGGATTCTAATGAGCATGTCTTTTCCAGAAACTCTTGCTTCGATTTTTGGGAGTGATTGGTCTAAGTTTTCGTCGAAAGAGGAGGAGCTATCATCATCGGCAAAGAGAATAGATCTCTTCACAAAAACTGCGGATTCGACTTTTGTATCAGCTACTTGTTCCTCTAAACTCTCCACTCGTTCTTTTAATTGCTTTAGATGAATTATAGCATCTTCCAAAATAGTTGCCTTGTCCATCTGCATGATTATCATTCATTGTGAATTATAGTAATAAGAATGAAGATATATATTTCCAATTTTCATAATTGAATACAATGATTAGTACCTTTTTGAGTCCAGGAAGAATGGAGGAAAGAGTAATGAATTTCTGGTTAAGCTTTTGCCTTCTTTTTCTTTCAGCTATTACATGATCTCTTGCTTGGATCAGGTTTCTGTTTGGTATCGCTGTCGCAGCCTTGTTCTCTCGTCTATCATACTCACTTCCAAAATTCAAGTTTTCACCGTACCCCGACTCAGTTTTAGGCTTCTTAATCCTTGCATCCATATTGTCAAAGGAAATTATTTTGGAAGATGAAGAAGCCATTGTTGGTGGTGTTGCAGAGACAATAGATTGATCAGGACTTTCAATGGGGAAAGAGTTGTTTTGTGTGGTTTCGGAATGAAATCTCTTATTATTATTATTATGAGAGGAATTAGTACTCTCAGGTGTGGATCCTGCTGAAAAAGTGTTGAAGTATGAAACATCATCATAGTTGAATGCAAATGAATCCATTTCTTGAAACAAAATAGTGTCTTCCATTCCCTGTTCATTTCAAAGAAAAAAGGTAAGTTCTTCTAGGGTTCACTGCAGTTAGAGACAATTCAAACATGCACTTAGTAGTGTTGTGTACTTACAAATTCAGGCATGTAATTGGAAGACGAAATTTGAATCATCTTTGAGGTTGAATTCCTATATGTACTGAAAAATTAACAAGTCAAACAATTAGGTCACAATCAAAACATTTACGATTTCTAAGTTTAAGAAAAAATAAATTGAAAAACTGAAGAAATATTGGATGAGAAAGGGTTACCTTGGTGGAGGAAAAGTAGATGAAGAAAAAGAAGGAAGTGTTGTGAAGATGGTGTACAATGCTCCATAAATAGAGCAACCTGTGTTTTATAGAGAGGAAGCAAAATAGTAAGACACGTTTAGTACCCGGTTATGTATTAACCACGTGTGAATATGATTTCCTATTTTCTTGGGTGTATTTTTTATTATAATGATGGCTCCACTTTTCACCAACAACTTTATTTTGGTCAAATTGTGGGTACATTTTCTCAATTCTCAACTACTTGTTTCATGATCAGGTGAATATGATGTTTTACAAAGTAATAATTTAACCCAAGAAGCTTCGTAGAAATTGGTAATCCCAAATATGATGGATGAAAATTTATATTCTATACACTCAATGTTATAAGAAAAAAGATTATATTTTTAAATTTATTGAATAATTTATACATTTTATCTTAAATATAAATTTATTGTATTCATTTACTATAAGAAAAGTGTGTTTAGTTGGATTAAATCGTTCATTAGTAAAAAAAAATTCTTCACAAAATAATAATTTATAAGGTGACAAATCCACTAATTAAACAGGTCATCGCAAATCATTAGTAAGAGGTCTATCACATCGCAATTTTGTTTGATGGTAAATTCTTTGTGAAACCTAATCCTTAAATTTTCTCTTGCTGACACGCGGACGTAGACGCATACTAAGTGATTTAGTGTGTCAGTATTTTACTAGTTGCTATTTGCTATTTGTGAGGGGTTTAATCTTTCATAGTGTGTGTTAGTATTTTTCTATGGGCTAAACCTTGACCCATTAGTTTTATAATAAAATAAATTTTAGTATTTGTGAGTGGTTAAAAAATATATTATAATTATATTATTATAAATATAATAATATAATTATAATAAAATAACATAAATATAACAAATAAATATTTTTTATTTTATTTTGCAAAATAAAATTTTAAAAAAAAATTATAAAATTAAATGATTCATGATTAAAATGGAAATAAAAATTAATAGTCTCCATATCCACCAAAATTAAATTTAAAAATACATATTAAAAATTTCATATTCAAATATTTTAATTATTTTCTTCCTCCTCCTCCTCATCAACTCCTCCATATCCACCACCAGAACCTTGGTTCATCTGCGAGACCATAAATTGTTCAAATATTTGTGCGCATTCATTTGCAACCCACATTGCTTTCTCATACTCAATTGTATTTCTCCTCGGTTCTTCCTCCATCTCTATTTGTTTTCTCCTCATTTCTTCCATTTTTGTATTTCTTGCTGCTGTTTCGCGTGCTACCTTAATATGCGCTAAGTTTCTCACACCACACAATATTTCAGCAACACTAATAATGTTTGCTACATAGTTGCAGCCACCAAAATCATATGCCTTATTTTTATTTTTTATTTTTCCATTTCAGATATTTGTTTAAAGGCGTTGGAATTTTAATGGGTGATAAGCTCTTTAAATATATCTTCTCATATCCATTAGGAACATGATCATTTTCTTTCCCATGTAAGTCTAACATGCCTAAACGTGTCAGGTAATCGGATAACACATTACATGTGAAAATTTTCCTTAATTTTGTGATGATTTCTAATATCCCAACAACATTTCTCCTACATTGTTGTATAAATTCAAAAAAAAAATTAAATAAAAAGTATAATCATGAATATCTCAATAAATATAAAGGAAACTAAAATAATAATTACTTAAATGAGTTGGTTAATTATACTTGAAATAACTTAAACCTATCTTTTTTGTCTTTATTGGAAAGTGTTCCACAAGTCAGCCAAAAAAATTTATACATTTCTTTAATAACTTCTATTATGTTCAATGCTGCATGATGTGACGGCATAAGGCTAAACAACAAAATTTTGAGTTAGTATTAATTAAAAAAACTCAAATTTAAGATATAAACACTTACGATTCTTCCTCAGGTTCAATGATAAATCAGCCAAGATGTCTCCTAATTATTTGCGGCGCATTTCTCAGCATGTGAACCCTCCTTCGCTCCTCATGATCATTGTCATGAGCACTGATATCTCCATGATTAGGAGCACTAGTATCTTCATGATCATGATCATTCGTATCATCCTCATCATTCTGCTCATCATGCGTAGAATGCATGAGTGATGAATGTGGCATGCTAGATCCACTTGGCTCCATATATTGCACGAAAGACATAGGAAAGCTAGGTCCACTCGACTTCATAGAAGACATAGGAAATCTTGGTCCACTCAACTGCATGAAGGCATAAGACAGATAGGTCTACTTGGATGCATGGAAGGCATAGGAAAAGATATGGGATGTGGGGTGCTTGGCTGCATAAAAGGTGTACATCCAGGAGGACTAATAGAAGTTGTTGCAGATATGGGTGGGAATGAAGAAAAATTATGCATAGATAGTAATCCAGTGGAAGATCCAAATATGGGTGGAGTAGAATGCATAAGTGGTGGAGTAGGATGCTTAAGTGGACGAGCCCCCTGACTCGAATGTGACATATGACTAAACATAGATGATTAATCGGGAACCTCTTCTACAATGAACATGGTGTGGAGAATCTTACCCTTACCCTTTTCCTCATTTCGAGGTTGTATTTTTTATATTTTGAAAGAAAAACATAAAACAATAAATATATCAAAATAAGAGTAATATTAATTCGAGTAAACATTACACAATATCTTATTACACAAGAGTATTATTACATAATACATATTATTCATCATTATAATCTTCATTATCTTCATCATATATGATATTATTGTCTTCTGACTCTCTTGACTCTTCTTGCTCTTCTTCCACAAGATTTGTTGACAACAAGATAGTTGCATCAACTTGTTGACCCTCAACTACAGTATCACACAAACTTGTAATCTCCTCAATTTCAATTACCCCATTAACTGGTGAAATCTCATCATCTTGGTATGCAACATCTTCTATTACACCGTCTGTTTTAATATGACCCATTGGGTTGGACTTGATTACAATACACCATCCTCATTTATGTGGTTGAATTGAAGAATAAGGTACCTAATAAACTTACCTAAGATTATGTGCCATTATGAAAGAGTAATACTTTGTGTACTTTCTATCCATTCGAACCTCAACAGTGTTATATTTTTTTAATCTATTTTTGTTCATGTGGAAGATGGATCATACAAGTCACAATAAAACATGAAAACTTTATTTTTCGAGTCCATATAATTATATACTGTTTTGGTCTGGGCCCAGCCTCGCGGTCCAGCCCAATAACGCACAAGGCCCATTAAGTGGACTAGCCCAACCGGGCACACGCACCACCGCGGGACGGACAGGGCACGCACCCCGCCGGGATGGACGGCACGTCCTGTAGCGTCCCAACGCCCCCTTTGTGGGTCGAACCGAGCAGCCCTGGCCCGTCGAGCAAGACCCTTCGTTCTTCCACGTCCACGCGTGCTCCCCTCCGCGGGGAGAACTCCGTGCTCTCAGGGAGTCCCTCGAGCTCCCTCCGCGGGGAGAACAACCTGCCTCCGGGGAACCCCCCGAGCTCCCCTCCGCGGGGAGAACAACCTGCCTCTGGGGAACCCCCCGAGCTCCCCTCCGCGGGGAGAACAACGTGCCCGGCGCACGTTCTCCACGTGCTCCCCTCCGCGGGGACACGTCAGCAACCAACTGCCCACCTCCGAAAGAGCCGGTCAAACCCACTTTTCGGAGATCAAGGAGCAGTTGGACTAGGGAGAAGACCACGTTCTGGCCTTCACTACGCCACGTAAGCCCTAGCAATCACCTGGGTTGGGCCTGGCAATCCAGCCCAATGCAAGTGACCGTTAGCCCAGCGCTGGGGTCTCTCTATAAATACCCTCTTTTGCAAGAGGGTCAGGTAACACACTTCTTACCCCTTTTCTGTATTTTGCTCTCACTCTGTCCAATTTCTCACTTTGGCATCGGAGTGTCTTGCAGGTACACCCCTTTCTCCTCCTCATCACCGGTGAACAAGCAGCAGTCCAACAACGTGTGGCCAGTCCATGATCCCCTTCTGATCAGGTCAGATCAGTGGCGCCGTCTGTGGGAACAGAAACTTCCCCGTTATTCCGAGCAGAAAACCAAAGTTTCACCAACACTCCACGATCATGGCTAGCCCACACCGCGACGACACTCTGCACGACCTCATGCTCAACGTCGCCACCAACGGAAGCAAGCAGATGGAAACGACGCGTCCGGCGGAAACCGACGAGAGAGACGGCCAAACAGCATTCCAACCCGTTCCCATCCCGGCGGGAGCGGACCCAACGGTGGCCGCCCTCTTTACGGCCATCAACCAGACGAACCAGCTGTTGTTCCAGCAAAACGCGAGAATTGGAGCATTGGAACGCGTCGGCCCTCCGAGGTCCCCCCCCCCCCCCCCCGCGGGAAGACCAGAACGGAGGTTCGAGAAGTCCCTCACCTCGACCCAGAAATCGCCGGCCGCGGCTGGAGAGACACCACGCACAGGTAGCGCGAGAACGCACCAGGTCCCCAGCAAGACATGTTCGCGAGAGGAACCAGAGCACTGCGGCGATCCCGGTCGGGGATCCTCGAGGCGAAAACCCAGGCAGGAGGTCGAGAACCCGAAACCGGGGCCCTATTTTGAACGGCTCGTCTCCTCATCGGTCCCCGGCACCCAGCGACGAAGACGATTACCGCACCCCGCTGTCCCGAGAAATCATGGCTGCCCCCATACCCCAAGGGATAGAGAAGCCCCCGACGCTATCGACGTACAACGGCACATGCGACCCGGACGATCACCTAGAGGACATCGAGGCCATGCTCGATTACCGAAACGTCCGGGGAGCTATCAAGTGCAGGCTCTTCCCGACGACTCTGAGGAAAGGCGCCATGACTTGGTATAAA